CAGATGGTGAAGGTGATCAGGTCATGGTCACTGTCACCCAGCTTCCCTTCAATCATTAGGTTGCTGATTAGCTCATCTCCAGTTGCCAGTATGAGGTTGAGCAGTGCTTTACCTCTTGTCGGCCCATAGATTTCCTGTGTCAGATAGAGGTCATCCACGCATGAGAGAAAGCTTTGCGACTGCTTGGATTTGGCTGAGCGCTCCTCCCACAAGATGTCTGGGTAGTTAAAGTCTTCCATAACAACCATACACTGGAAGTATGCGGCCTCAACCAATTCCCTGGTGAACTCCTGGTCAAGGTCTTAACCCTGGGTAGGGGGTCTGTAGTAGTTGTGCTGCAGTTGTGCCAGCGGCTCTGCTATTACTCCAGCTAATTTCCTAAGTACCCTAGGATGAAGATCATCAGGACCTGTTGACTTAAATACATTCAACTCTTCCAGGTGCCCCTTTACTAGTCAGCATGAACAGTTGGTGGATTGGTACCTATACTGGGCTTACCTAAGGTCCCAATGGGATGCATATTTGTATTCATGTCCAGAAACACAGATGCAAAGAAATCATTTAGAAGCTCCGCTTTGGCCATCCTATCTGTTACCAGTTGCCCTAGTTCATCCTGACAGGGCCCTAAGTTACCCTGCACCTTCTTTTTGCTTCCTATGTACTTAAAGAATGACTTTTTGTTATCCTTAACTTTTGCTGCTAGCCTAAGCTCCATTTCTGCTTTGGCTGTCTTTGCTGTTTCCCTGCATGCTCAAGCCAAGCATGTACACTCCTCCTTGGTGTATTTGTAACAACAGAAGTACAATGGATATAAACTGCTTTCAAAATGGCCCAAACTGGTTTAAGATAAAACTGGATGGATGTAGCATCAGACTTAACTGATTTAGGTTAAAACAGTTTTTTGAACTTCTGTCCTAGATCCTTTCCAGATTCAAGTCTTCAAGCATCCCAAGTTGCTTTGCATATCCCCTACAAAACCCCCCTTGCAGAGTGGGTAGGCTAGCCTTGGCCCAAGCTGTTTACTCCAGCCCAGCAGGGAAGCACGCTCTAGCACCCCCCAATTTCTGGCCTGGGCTGCTGTAGGCATGTGGCTGCATTTCCACAATCAAAAGTGAATATCTGGTCACTTGCTTATTGGTTCAGTCTACACAGCTTAAACTAACCTGCAAAGATTGAATCAATTCAGCCTCTGGCTTTTAGACTGTCTGTACTTAGCCTTAGAGTCTCTATTTTAGAGTGACATCTATATATGTAAAGACATGCCATTGTGCATTACAGTCAGAGAAAAAGGGGAGGAAGACTGTTCAAGAGTTTTTTCAAGAAAATAATTTAGTTCCAGGTACATTTCATTGTGTGTTTTTCATTTGGCCTGGGCTACTGCAAGAGGGCAGACAAGATGATTATAACGATCCCTTCCGTCCTTAGAATCTATGATTTCTATTGTTGCACAACCTATGGCACAAGTGTCACAAGTGGTACAGGCAACCTGTGTGTGTGGCATGCAACAGATTGGGGAGGGGAAAAGCAGCACAGTAGCATTTAGGACAGGAAGCAGAAAACAGAGCAGGAGATCAGGCAGGGACCACAGGGAAGGCAGAAGAAAGTAGAGGAGGGGATTGGACAGGAAGCACAAAATAAGAAGCAGAAACAACAGCAGATCAGTCAGAAGGGGATCAAAGTGGCACTTGAGGAGGGTGCAAGGCCAACGTGGTATGTCTGCCAAGAAGGTTGGTTCCCACTGTTGTACAATATTTTATCTTACTGGCTTTTCTGTTTCTAGGACCATCAGTTCTAAGCACTCCTAATGCTTCCCTATCTCAGTCTTTGCAATGGCAACAGTTCAAGTCACGGTCAAACATTATATGCCAAGAGGTTTAAAATTTTTGCCATAAAGACCCACCATGTAATTTATTTTTAATTCACTCAGCCTTACGGCTGTCCGGTATCAAAAAGAAGCAGAATACATTCTGCTCCAGAAACCTGTGCTTTACATCAAAAAGAAAACCTGGAAACAATGGTGACCCCCTGGTATGCTAAGCTCCTATTCACATTTCAAAAAAGGTGGCTGTATTTTTCAGATCTTTTACTTTATTGCCAGTGCTAAGTCCTGTTCTAACTAATAAATACCTTTCATCCCCGAAGCCCAACAAAATGCTTCTTAATTTTAAGTCATGAATTACTTGCTTTGTGATATGAGCAATATTTTTGCCATCAATATGCTAAGTGGACTTCAAAATGTTGGTCTTCGTACGCAGGACATTTTATTCTAAAAAATAAATTGTATAAATATTTGTAAACACTATAATCCATTTCAGCTGTGGCAACAGAACAGTCTGATAAACACAACAGTATTCCCAGAGATCAATAGAAGTCCGTAAATATTACAAGCAAATAAAACATCCTATTTCATGTTGCCTTAGCTTTGACTAAAGTAAAAGGCTCGCACAGGGAAACCTACAGAGACAACAAGATTCCAGTGGCATATGCATGAAGGATCCAATGTCAAATTCTGAAACGATAAGGCAAGAAGCATTAGGGACCATACATACCCATCTGCATGGCATTGCGAGGCTGGCCGGCTGTTGGCTGAGCTGAATACCTCAAACAGTTATTTGTCTGAGGAGAGGCTGTCTGTAGCTGAGGATGAGTCTGAGGTGCAGTGATTGGAACAACTGGTCTGACAGCAGTGGCTGTGTTTGTAAGACTTGCACCTCCTGAATGAATAGCTCCTGGGTTTCCTTTTGGTGCCTGAGACCCTCCTGCTATACTGTTCCTGGGTTGGCTAGCTCCTGCAGGCACTCTGTGAACAAATGAAATACAACATGAAAACTCTGTTAAGCCACTTGGATAACTATGTCTTACATCTGTTGCAGTGATCAATGCCATAAACTACAGGAAAAGCTTGAAGCTAAATATGATACCAATTAATGTATTGACATAAAATAAAGGTTAAAGTGATGTGTTATTTTATTTCTATTTTCTATAAAGATAATGCATTTTGTTGAAAGTTTGTATTTTGCTTTCTCAAGTTCGATTGTTCTATTACAAGTGGCATTAAAACCAGAGAGATGGCCTTAACTAGAACTTCTGCTTTAATTTATTTCAATAGACATCTTAATTCAAACAAAACGGATGTCTCAAATGCTATTTTGTATCTCTAGGCCAGTGGTTTCAAATTCTGACAGACTGCACACCAGCAATTTAAAATGATACAACCTTAAGTACCACCAGCAAATTTTTGTCATATAAAGTAATTATAATACATCTGTTAATGCATACCACTGACAGGTTGTCTGAGTACCAATGGTGGTACCTGTACCACAGATTGGGAACCGCTGCTCTAGGCTGTTTTGTGGGTGAGAATGGAACAGGAATTAAAATAAGCCATGGGTCTGTCTTCTACATAAATGCATGGGGGGGAAGATGAAGAGCCTCACCTCCCTACATTATGCTGCAGTATTCAGGTTTCAACATCATGTTTCAAGTGAGGACCCTCTAAAACAGATGATGGGGCCTCTGGGTTTGGTTTTTCACATGAACTATTCAACTAACTTTAGTTCAGACATGTGACAAGGGAGCTCAGAGGATGAGTGCTCTCAACTGACCTCACTCGATGGGAAATACTGTGAAACATGAATGAACAAACAAAACAGAATCAAATAAACAGCTCCCAGCCTTGGCAGCTCTCCCATGGTGTGTACATTTTCCTTCTTTCAATTTGCTTGCTCTGGGAGACCTCTTACTTACCCATGGGCAATCAGGGAGAAGGAACTGTAGGATCTAGGTTGTCTCCTTGCTCAGCCAGCTCAGCAGAGATCTATTCTTTTGTCAGCCACGTCTCATTCCTTCCCTCCACCAAGCTTGCAGTTTTGCAGTCAGCAGAGTAGGAGGAAATGCTACACAGAACCCACCCCCTGGGCTGTAAAGTTATGTGGACATTAATGCTGTATTCACCACTGAGATATGCAAATGTTCACCACTTCCATTTCACCATTTCAACTGTTGAGAAATGAAGTGGGCAGGGCCAAGTATTATTCTGCTCTCCTTTGTCTCCCCTGTCTCCTTCCCTACACTTAGAGCTATAAGAGAAGGAGGGAAAAGAAAGCATAGGAGGGAAAATGAGGGGGAAGAGATGCAGGAGGGGGAAGAGAGCGAATGGGACTGAAGGGAAGGGAGGGGAGAGCAGGAAATAAAGATGCCACCAGTCCAGGAGGTTGGGAGTTGGATAGGTGAATCTAGTCAAGAAGAAAAACAGTGATGTATAATGCAGCAGAAAGGTGGGAAGGGTGGGGAAGCACTGAACATACAAATTAGATGGAGAGTAAAGGCCAAACCATAAAATAACATAAATCTTAAAGGAGGAGTTCACAGAGGAGAGACCCAAAGAATGAAAAAATACATTTAAGAAGAATGATATTGCATCTGACAGAAAGAATGAACACAAACAGTCACTGAACAACTCAACAAGATCCAGGCAAGAAGACAGACTATTAGGAGAGAAATAAGAGAGAAGGAAGGAAATAATACAGAGACCTTGTAACTTCATCCCTGTGCCTCTTAAGTTTGCCTTATTTCTGTTGTTTGGGATTTATTTTAATGGTGGTTTGACTTTTCTTTTTTTTTTCACTGGAAAAACTGGACTATTCCCTGCCTGCCCCTCAGCCCCAACTCCAGACAGGAAGGGGTGATGCACTCTGGATGCTGCGTGTCGCCCTCAATTGCATTCTGAAGAGCTGACAGGTGAGAAATGAGAGTCCATGAGATCTGGCAAAGTCACAGACAGCAGATTGGATTTGCCACTACAGCGAGATGCAATATATACCCACAATATATGTACCGAGAAGCCCTATACCCCCAAGTAGGGCCTTACTCACACTGACACATACAGGTTTAAAAACACCCCTGGGACTTTCCCCAGGAGCCCTACCAGCAGGGGGAGCCTGAGAGATGTTTGAAACTGCTACATTTTTTGTGTCCCCAGAATTCATCTTCTTCCTAGCCAGCCTTGTCCAGGCACCCCAAATTCTGTGTTTCACCATTTCCCTCAGGATGGACTTTGATCTGCTGGAAACTCACACTGGTATTCTGCCAGTACATGAATCAGTCCCAGTGTGCTTAAATTCTGTGCTGCTGATATTTAATTGCTTTGGAGTTGTGGGGGGAGGTAGAAGGCAAGGCAAATGTCATCTTGTATTTTGCTGATGCTAGAAAGGGGAACAGAGTCATTTGAAGGCTGTGACAAAGGAGAAATTTTGTTACTGTCACGTTGTTCTTGTTTTCCCTTCAGGTGCTTTGTACGTGAACAGAATGTTTTAATTACACATTTGTTTCTAATGGATCATAAAATTAGTCATGAAACAATTCCCAAGCTCGTAGGAAGCAGCTTTGCCCTTTAGCACTCCTCAGCATCTTGTTCAAGCTTCCATATGCTGCAGTTTGCAAAGCTTTGGATCACCAATACCGTTGTCATGAACCCTTTTTTTTATTGGTTAAGAGGTAAAGAGTTAAGTGTTAGATGCAGCCAAATTACTATATAAAATTTAGGTGAATAAAATCTAAGTTTACGAACAAAACAATTAAAGCATTCACTAGCTATAGAGTTGATGCTTTTTGGGCTGTAATGCAACTTGAAAACTGTCAGCCAGACTGCAGGTGGGGCAAGGTGAAAACAAGGTTACATTTCCTATGTCTCCCTTTCCAATATATGTTTGTCTTCAGTTTTGTCTAGACCACAAATGATATACTACACGTGAACTGGAGATGGACTAAATCAGAAACCATTTATCAGACCATTCTCAAAACTTTAGAGTTGTCAGTTAAATGGGATCTAGATGAGAAAAATTCGTCACTGGTTTTGCAAAACTAAAGTCCCCTTTTTTTTCTTTTTCCTCATCTCCTTCTGTATCTGCAGCAGAGATAACTAATCAGGAATCATTTATCAAAGTCAGCTTCCACATCTGAAGTGTGAAGGTTTAAAAATTAAATCTCAATCCAAACAAGCTGGCGTTTTTGATTTTACAAGACCAAAATATAAACAATGTGAAGTTGCGAAACAAACCACAACCAGTCCTTTTTTCACTCATCTCTATTTTAAATTGCTTTGGTTCCTTTTTTAGATAAGAATTCCATAGCCAACTAGCTATTTAAAACAATGGGCTATGCACTGCTGATCACCTGCAGAATAGATGTGTCAACACGTTAAGGCCCCTTGTGCAGCTAGAGTGGTGGAAAGCGGCAAGTATGAATGAAAATCTGATCCCAACAGAGATTAAGATATTTGAGGCCATGGATCA